ACCTGCGAGGAGGTGGTATCACGGGGCAGATGAGGAACAGGAACCAGAAACTCAGAAGGGTTAAGAAAAGCACCCCAGGTCACAGAGGCAGTCGGAGGCAGAGCAGGTATCTCCAGCCTGGGTCTCTTAGCTCCCATCACAGCCTACTTGCAGGAGTGTTGGGCACTGCAGGGGTGTGCTCTTGCGTTTGAGTCTCAAGGGCCTGGAATACATGAGAAATGTGGGGAGAGGTGCAGGGGCATCTTTTAGCCCTCGGGATGCCTAGAGGCTGTCTGTATTAAATTTTTTTTTTTTGAGGAAGATTAGCCCTGAGCTAACATCTGCTGCCAATCCTCCTCTTTTTGCTGAGGAAGACTGGCCCTGAGCTAACTTCTGTGCCCATCTTCCTCTACTTTATATGTGGGACACCTGCCACAGCATGGCTTGCCAAGCAGTGCCGTGTCCACACCCGGGATCCGAACTGGCGAACCCCGGGCTGCCGAACGGAACGTGTAAACTTAACCACTGAGCCACTGGGCTGGCCCCAGAGGCTGTCTGTATTAAAGTTGTACAGTCTGAAGTCTAGTTCTGTCGTCCACCTCCCCCCCTCCCCGCTCTGGAATTGCTGTTGTCATTATTGTCAGTCCAGCCTTGCTAAGGGGCCTGTGGAGGAGGCTAGAGGGGCAGGTAATGCCGTTGATTACCCTGCCCCCTGGGTAGACTCCCACTGATTTTCTGTACCTCCACTAAAATAATAATAGGTAGCATTTATTGAGCACCTTCTGTGTGACAGGCACTGATTTTAGCCACTTTCACTTATTTCATTAATCCTCAAAACAACCCTGAAAAGTAGGTATTCTTTTTTTTTTTTAAGATTTTTATTTTTCCTTTTTCTCCCCAAACCCCCCCCCCCCCCAGTACATAGGTGTATATTTTTAGTTGTGGGTCCTTCTAGTTGTGGCATGTGGGATGCCACCTCAGCATGGCTTGATGAGCAGTGCCATGTCTGCACCCAGGATTCGAACCAGCGCAAACCCTGGGCTGCTGAAGCGGACCGCGTGAACTTAACTGCTTGGCCACGGGGCCGGCCCCAAAGTACGTATTCTTATTTGATGTTTGAAGAGACTGAGACTGAGAGAAGGCAAGTAACATGCCCAAGATCACACAGCAATTTTTGTCAGAGCTGGGAATTCCTTCTCAGGATTGGCTCACTTCAACGTTTCTTGTAAACTTGTACGTTTCTGTGCACATGCTGGTTGCTTCCAGGAAGGGAACAGACAGGGAACTATGAAGAGTGGTTAGGGTTAATTCTAATCCCTTGCCACTTCCCTCCAAGGCACCATTGCCACAGCTTCCCTGCCAACTGTCCTAAAAAGAAATCGTTTTGGCTGTCCAGGTTTCCTCCATAAATTGGAGCAGCATCTGGTCTTTGAAGAGAGCCAGGCATTCCAGGAGCCCATAACCAAGGGTCTGCATGACTCCTGGTTTGAGCAACCAGCTGGCACCAGCTCCCCTGGGAGAGTCTGTGGGCAAAGCCTGATCTGCAGACCGGTTATTTATTTGCCCAAATTAGGAGACCGAGGAAAATGGTTCTGTTTACAGGCCCCAGAGAAGATCTGAATCCCAAGTCTGCACCCACTTCTGTAGTGTTCCAAGAAAGATGCTGTTTCCATGTGAGAGCCCTGCTTCCCGTCTCAAGTTCGGATGCTCATGGAATCAGGGGAAGCCGGGGCACTGCCCCTTCCCAGGCATCCACACTGGGTGGCATCTCTGCCTTTGCACGCTCCGCAGTCCCTTCTCCAGAATCCCCAAATCCAACCATGCTGAAAACAAAGTTCTTTCATGAGTTTGTCATCAAAACTCTTTGGTGGCGAAAACCGGACCTGATCTTATGCTCTTTATTCATCCCTTGTGAAAATACGCATATGTTCTGCTGCAGAAATCAAAACTGATGAGTTTGACTATTGGGGGATGTCGCTGCAGGGTGTTATGTAACGTGTGGTATACCCGGCACATACTCTTTCTAAAATCCAAAACATTCTGGAGTCCCACCCCAGGGGTCCCCGCTAAGGGGTTGTGGTCTTATTGTTTTATAACAAGACCTGTATTCAAGCAGGAAGGTCATCTCCTGACCGGGAAGCAGATGGCTCACTTAGATTCATAAAGGAAGCCTTCCCAGTCCTCTGTGGTCAGCCTTGGGGCCTGGAATTCCACCACCAAGGGGTTCATTCTTTGCTGTCTTTTTGAGAGGTGGAGGAACCCAGAAATCACTTAACCTTTATGTGGATTGGTCCTTGCAGATTTTTCCTCTGTGGGAGAAGGCAGCTTGAGACAAGTGGGTACTTGTAGAGGGTGACCAAGTGCTAATGGAAGGAAGATGGGACAGGACAGAGGTCTCAGACAAACCCAGGTCCTGGGCAGGGCAGATAGTCCGGCAGAGAGCCTGCAGGACAGGCAGGCGGCGACGATGGCCGAGTTAGCCCGCTCGCATTGCTCACCGCTCGCGGGTCCTGAGCGCAGCGCGCGCGGCCATCTAGTGGTCTTTGCATCACATACACCCTTTCCTCGCGGGGGGGCACTCAGGGAGGTCTGGGTCGGGACCAGGGGAAGGCCTTGCACATTGGCTCCGCAGCTCTCTAGGAGGGCCGAGCAGGAGCGGCAAGTGCCAAACTCGGTGGCGGCAAAGGTGCGTCCCCCCAAGGGTGAAACCAGCGATCGTTTTCTAGTGGCGCTGGCCAAGGTCGGGGTGGAGAGGCCGGGGGCGTCTGAGGCCACGTCCCTCTCATTTTTAGAGGTTCTCCCTTATTTACAAATGAAGAAAGTCCAAAATAGGGTTACACACATTTGGGTCAACTTAAAGCATGCGTGGACCTTGCAGTCTTTCCGCAGCCGGGCAGAGCGTGTTTGGGACCGCGGGGCCGTTCGGGGGCCGTGGGGATGCGGCGGGGCGGCCGGGGCGCCCCCTGCCGGATGCAGCCGGCCGCGATCGGCCGCAGCCTCGGGGCTCCCGCGGGCTGCCGGGGCGCTCACTCCGCCACCTAGCGGCAGCGGTGAGAAGCGCGGGGGCGCGCGGACGCCGACTCCCGCCGGCCCCAGCGCCAGCCTCCCGGCGGCCGAGGCAGCAAAGGGTTAAGCTGTCAGCGGCGCGATGTTAAACAGGTGTCAAAGGCGCCCCATATATCTGCAGATTGAAATCAAATTCTTTGCCGTATAAAAAGATAAATTACCCAGGCGCTGCTGCGCGTCCCACTCATCACGCCAGCGCCAGACGGCAAGCAATTTTTTTTTTTAATGTGCTAACGACCTAATCAAGCAATCAAGTCGGAGAAGATTGCAGAGTGACCGGGGCAGCCATCTGCCGGCGAGCCCCGCATTCATTTCCCGCGCCCCCGCGTGGGGCGGGGGCCGGGGAGGGAGCTGCCGGCGGGGAAGAGGGGAAAAAATCCTAAACAAATTAACACCCAATTTTCCCCGTCTAATTAGTTAAATGAGAAGTGTTTGGGGTCCCCGGGGAGGGGGAGCGGCTCGCGCGCGGCTCGCGCTGCCTCCCCAGCATTAATTAGTGCGGGTCAATGCCGCGCTCCCGGGAGAGCAGCCGCTTTAATTTCCCGTGATATTTCAGTGCCTGAGGCCCATCGATTCAAACTGAAATTAACTTATTTTTCAATCAGCCCAGGGCTGCCCCTGGGGGTGACTCTTCTTTTGCCGCCTCCTGAATAGAGCTGGAGCAATTTTTCATCAAAAGCTGAAACCGCCGCCGCCGAGGGCGGGGGAGGGGTCCGGAGGGAAGGGCGGGGACCCGGCCAGGCAGGGCATGGAAATCGCAGAGGAAACTAATAGATTTTCTCGATCCCGCCTCTGCCGTCTCCTCATCCCCTCACTGCCCCCGGGCGTCTCGCCGCCCCGGGGGTGAGGGGCAGTGAGGGGACTAGAGAGGGCCGGCCGGGCCTGGGGTCCTTCCAGCGCCCAGCAGTTTCCCGCGGGCCTGTCACCTGCTGAAGGGACAGTGCAGCTGGCCCTGGCTCTGGCTCCTGTCAGCTGCCGGAAGTCTCAGGAAGGCTGCTTTGGGAGACCGAGAAAATCCCCCTCCCCCGAGCATGGCAGGGACCCTGGGATCTCCTCCAAGAAGGCGGTTGGAGGGCTGCAGACACCCCCAGGGTACCTCATACTCACTCACACCTGCACCCGTCAGCTTTGGGGCCAGAGAAACATTCCCTAGCCACCTACCCTCATTTGCTCCTCACACCAGCAGAATGTTGTCCTCCTTCCCTACTGAGGGACGGCTGCCCAGCTCCTCCAAATAGCATTCAGACTGAGGTCCAAAACTGTGGAGAGCCGGCGAGTGGAGGGCATGGTGGTGTGGCAGGGCTGGCGCAGGACAGGGCAAAGAAGGGAGGCTGACTCAGGCCTCCTGGAAGGGTCCCCTGCCCTGTTTTGGCCTAGTTCCCAGGCTTCCTGAGACCTGGATGAAATGCCCTTTGCTGTGGAGTCCACACTCCCCTCCCCTCCCGGGACTGCTCTGGCCCCTGGAGTTCTGGCGGAGGCGCTGCTAGTCCAGCCCCTGGAAAGGAATTTGTCCCTCTGAAGTCAGGAGAGAGATTCTGTTTATACACTGGGGGTGTGAACACTTGCAGGAGAGCTAGCTGCATCCCGCTTCCTGGCTGCAAATTGAGGACCACATGGGGAACTCCTCACCTGCAAGACCCTGTTCGGGAGGCGTTCCTGTCCCCTGTCCCGTCACCCTGGAACTGCTTTGATTAAAAAGAAAAAAAAAAAGGACCCCTTTCACCCATTGTATTCTCATAGGACTTGGTGTCCTCCTTCTGGACACCTCTGAGCCTGGAGGAATGGCGGGGGTACCACGGGGTGGGTGAGCTTTAGTAAGGACACCCTGCTGGAGAAACCGGCAGGCACAAGGGGATGAGGACGGTGGCCATTGGAGAGGTGGGACCTTAACTCCAGGCAGACACAGGGGTAAGGGTCTGGCCTCACGCACCTGACTTGTTCCTCTGCACTTACAGGTCTGGTTCCAGAACCGCAGAGCCAAGTGGAGGAAGCGGGAGAAGTGCTGGGGCCGGAGCAGTGTCATGGCTGAGTACGGGCTCTATGGGGCCATGGTGCGGCACTCCATCCCCCTGCCGGAGTCCATCCTCAAGTCCGCCAAGGACGGCATCATGGACTCCTGTGCCCCGTGGCTGCTGGGTAAGAGCCCGCACCCTCCTTGGGGCCCGGCCCCTGCAGTGAGGAGAGCGGGCTCCCTGGAGGAGGAGACAGAGTCCCAGAGCAAGGAGACCTAGCCACAGCAGCCTACAGGAGAGAGGCCCTCCAAAGCAGGCCACCCCACCTCTGGGGCGAGGGCTGGGGTGGGCAGGAGCAGAGGGCAGGCTGGGCTCAGGGCTTGGTGTCTATCACTTGCACCCACCTGCTGGGTGCCTAGGACTGTCATCCTGGATGGGTCCCTGACTGTGGGTTGGTCTTTCATCCTGTGAGAAGGGTGTGGCTGTTGGCTCAGGGTCTGTACCCTCCACTTTCCTTGGCTGGAGGTGGGCTTGTGGTGAATGAAACAGCCCCTCTTGGGGATTGAGAGGACCCCTAGGTCCCTTTGGCCATCATTCCAGCTTTGCCCAGGACTTCCTCCTTCTAAATCTCTCCACCTGCCATTGTCCTCCCACCTGCCATCTGGGCCTATGTCTCATAACAGCACCAGCTTCTCTTGGGTTCTAAGATCTGGAATCCCAGGAGGGAGGGATGGGGAGGCAAGTGCTATTCTTGGGAAGGGACAGAACAGGCTGCCTGGGGACCAGGTGCTCAGGGACTTAGCTTGGAGATAGCCCTCTGCAGGCCTGGTGCCCTGCTGCTGGACTGCAGCCCGTGCCCCGGCCCCTGGGACTCGCGTGGCTGCGGTGTGGGAAGCAAGGCTTTCTGCTCGTCCTTAATTCTGGCCTCTCTCTATCTTTGCTGTTTTCAGTTCAAGATGGCTTTCCCAGGCGCTTTTCTAAACCCGAATACCAACAATTCTTTTTAGGGATGCACAAAAAGTCGCTGGAGGCAGCAGCCGAGTCCGGGAGGAAGCCGGAGGTGGAGCGCCAGGCCCTGCCCAAGCTCGACAAGATGGAGCAGGAGGAGCGGGGCCCTGACCCTCCAGCCACCATGTCCCAGGAGGAACTGAGGGAGAACAGCATTGCCGCGCTCCGAGCCAGAGCTCAGGAGCACAGCACCAAAGTGCTGGGAACTGTGTCCGGGCCGGAGAGCCTGGCCCGGAATGCCGAGGAGCCAGAGGAGGAGGAGGCGATGGACGAAGACAGGCCGACAGAGAAGCTGAGTCCACCGCAGCTCGAGGACATGGCTTAGGTCAAGGGCGCCCTGACACTGGAGCCCTAGGACTCTGCTCTTCTCAGGACCTGTGGTTCTGGGAGGTGTTCTCTGAGGCAGGGCCCAGCCCGGCCTCTGCCACTCTCCCCCTGCCCCACAGGCCCTCCATGACCCCCGGATGACTTCAGGCACAACTCAGTTCTGGCTGAGGCTATAGGCCGTGCCGAGACATCCCCACTAGCCTTGACCTCTCCAGCATCCTTGTCCCAACAGCCCTGCCTCAGAAGCCTTCTTGCTGTCCCAAACCACCCCCTCAAGTCTCTTTCACTCAATCCCTCGGGGACACCCATGTCCAGATCCCTCTCTTACACTCTGTTCTCTTGCTCCCAAGAGCCCTCTTTTCCACCTATGCACCCTCTGTGGATTCTGCTCCACCCAGGCCCGAAGCCCACTGCTGCAAACGCATTGCCTACCACAGCCCTGACAGGGACTGAGGGCCCACACCCCAGGGCCAATGTCCTGAGCGCTCCAATCCTCCACAAAACTCTGCTCCCCGCAGCCTGCTCCTTCCCGCAGGCCTGGGCCCCGCCATGTGAATGTACTGCCCCACCCCATCAGTGGGGCCCACATTCCACAGTAAAGTTGGGAAGTCTCAGCCTGGGCCCCTCAGCCACCTTCCATCACATGCCCTCCATGGTCACCCTCAGGAGCCCATCTTCTCCACACTCAGCCTGCCCCACCATTCCTCCCAGCATAGTGCCACCACTGCATATGGCGACATACAATACCTGTAGTGGGTCCAGGGCCTGTGCCCTGCAGCCGGGGGACACCGCTCACAGATGCTGTGGCTCACTGCACTGCACTCACGGCCCCTGAGTCTGTGTCCTGATCTCCTGCCTCCCTTGATATGCTGCCTGTGACCCTGACTTGCTGTGCAAGGCACCTTTCCCCTTAGAGCTTCTCGCAAATTACTGGTTCACATGTGCCCTGCCTTGGAGCAACCCAATCCAGCTGTGAAATGAAGGCAGAGGAAGCCATGAATCTTGATTCAACTTGATCCAGGCTGTTCCTGGGAGGCCAAGCCTGGAGTGGGCCTGGGGCTATAAATAGTCATCAAGTTTGGTCACAAGAAGGGTATGAGGGAAGGCTCAAAGGAGAGCAAGACAGGAGCCAGCGTTAGACCCAAACTCAATGATAGGCACACAGACCTTCATACCCGGTGTATGGCGGGGTGTGCGTCCACGAGAAAAAGACAGACACAGCGACCATGTCGGAAGAGTGGACTGGGGGCATCTTCCTGTCTGCTGATGAGAGGACCTGGCCATACCCATGGCCTCTCTGCAGCTGCCCCTTCCTCCCTCCACGCCAAGCAGATGTCCCTCTCACCCCCATGACATTTCCCTCTACTGTCCCACCACCTTCGCAGGGAATACCTCGCACGAGAAAGGCCTGAGACAGGGAGTTGAGATTTTAATTCTGTATCAAGAGTTGATTTCTTCATTTAGTTCATGGAACTCCCCCCCCCAACCCCCCCCGCCGTTCTTCTTGTCTTTGTCCCCTGTTGGTTTGAAGTGTTAGACTGTAGCCCCTGGTGTGTAAATAATGTACATAGAGTGAGAAGAAAGAAACTTGATATGGAGATGTTTGAAATCTGGAACTGTCCTAACTTGTAGCTATTCTAAACCTGTGATTTCTGTGCAACTTTCTGTAAAGATGAAAGTAAGAATAAAACTCATGTAAAAACAGCAGGGGAGGGATCCAGGAGTCCTCCGTGGGTGAGGATGGTGTGTGTATGTGTGTACGGGTAGCATAAAAAGTAAATCTATGGAGTCATATTTAGGTCAAAATTACTAGATTCTTCCTTTAAAATAACTCCAGCTGTAGAGGCATAGGGGCCTGCCTTTCTCCACGGAGCGGACACTACCTTTCAATGACATTTGTCACTGTGATATGGGACCCTCTCCTATTGCAGGCACAACTAAAATATCCCAGGCACTGAGCCCCTAGGGTATTACCCATGACTCCCTCCTGCTCCCTACACAAGACATTGCCTTTCCCCCTGGGACTTACCGACTTACAAACAACCCGATTTCCTTCACACTCAGGTGAAGCCCACAGCCCACTTTGGCCCGCAACAGTACTGACTCCCTTCCTTTTGTGTACACATGTGCACTCGAATGTCTTACCTACAACTCAAAAACAACAACAGCAACAAACAGAAAAGGGCGTGGTCTCTGGACCTAAAAGTCAGACAAACCTGTGCTAAATCCGCGTCAGAGAGAAGGGAGTAAGGAGAGAAACAGGAGGAAGGTGGCATGAGGTTGTCTGCAGACGGCTGTGACCCAGCGACTTGATGACGTGCTGGATGGAATTACCAGGTGAGAGAGTGGAGGCAGCAGACGACATAGATTCTGTCTGTGCTTTTGGCTCAAGAAATCTCATAAGATTGTTTCAAATTGGCTCAGATGTGGAACTCCCTCGTGGAAGAGATTTTTCTGGCAGCCCGTCACCAAAGGAGAATGACAGATGGCCTGCAACCTGGATTGGACCCGGGTATCTTCCTCCCAGACCCGGAGCCTGGGGCACATATAGGTAATCTCCGACTGTTTTGCGGTGAAAGGAAAGATCCCAGAGCCTGGCTTCACGTCCTGCCCGCACAGGCTCCTCCTAGGCCTTCCCGAGCATGGCAGGCCCCTGAAGGACTCATTGCCATCCCTTGGTCTAGGAATGCCCTCCCCTCACCCTGCTCAGTCCCAGCACTACAGGAAAGACACTGCCACTCATCCTTCAAGTCCTCTCCTCCCTGAAGCCTTCCTGATCCTCCAGGAAGAGTTTATAAGCTCTGTTCTCTCAAAGTACTTGGGACATCCCAATATGGCATTTTATACATTGTGTTGTAATTTTTTATTTACAAGTCTATCTTCCCCACAAGACTGATTTCTTCAAGGTGGAGATTATATCTTATTCATCTTTTATCCCCAGGACCCATCAAAAGGCCTGACACTCCATTGTTGAGTGTTTTCCTTTAACTCATCCATTAATTCAATAATTCAAAGGCATTTATTGAGCATCTATGTACCAGGCAGTGAGGCAAGGCACTGGGGATACAGTGGTGGGCAAAGCAGTCCTATTTGGAGGGAAAGACAGATATATTTCAAGTAATCACACAATTAAAATACAAAATTGCAAATGTCTTAAGGCCTTGGAGGCAGGAAAATAGACCATGAAAGCATATCCGTGGGCCTTGGGTCAAGGTGGTTAACCTCTGAGCCTGTCTCTCCTGTATTCTAAATCAGAAGAATATCTGCTCCTCCAGTCTCATAGTGTTGGGAGGAAGCCAGGACACTGGCCAAGGTGCCACATGAGCACAAGGGGAGGGTGGCCGCACCACGGCAGCCTCCTCCAGCTGGGGTGGCCATGGCAGTACTACACCCCACAGTTAGATCTGGGGGACAACTGGGGCCGTCAGAGGCTTGGGAGCTTCCAGAAACCCTCCCGGACAATCATGCCAAGGGATTCACCCCCAGAAGTGGCATGCAGCTCTCTGCAGAGGGACATGCAAATAGGCCTACGGTGATCAACGAGGGGAGAGGCTGAGACGCTGTACAGTGAAGAAACTGGGCAGGAACGGAAAGGCTGGACAGCCAATGAGGCAGAACAAAGAGAAATGCTACCCCAGTGCTGCCTGCACCCCAGGAGGGACTCCTCCCAGAGAATCTCGAAACCCAGCAGTTGGAAGGGAGGTTTTTCCAGCCTCCACAGACCCAACAGTGTGCCAATAGGTGGCTGTGTGCACCATGAAGAGCAAGAGGGTGACAAAGGGCAGGAGGGACTGACTTATGAGGGCGGCTTGGAGCTGCTGAGCAGGCCTGGCAGGATATGTGAGAAGGAGTCTGGTTGACGGCAGGGGAGTGACAAGTGGAGGTGGAGGTGATAGTGGGGGAACCCCTTAGGCCTTGTCCCGTGGCCTACAAGAAAGGGAGGTCACGATCCGAGGGATTTCTGGGATCTGGTCCATCCAGCCTCCTCTGTCTCTGGCACCCCCAGCTCACCGGGGTCCTTGGGGTCTTCCTCCTGCTCCCACCAGAACGGCAGCACCTTCTCCTCTCAGACTCCCCTCAGGGTGTGGAGTGTGGCACTCTTTTCATCAATTGCAGCGAAGGTACCATACTTCCCAGGGGACCTTTGGTGGGGGGGTTACTGGAACTCCTTGCACCATCCTCACAATTTTTTTATAAATCTAAAATTGTTGTAAAAATAAAGTTCATTTAAAAAACAAGCTAGTTTGTTTTCTAGAGGGAAAAGAACAGATGGTTCTTTGGGTTAGCACAAGCGCCCGGGATGCCCCTCTCCCTGTCCTTCCCCCAGGGCTCTGCTCACTGAATGTCACAGCTCAAGGCTCCCCAGGATCTCCCAGGCACTCAAGACTCACCCCTGGGGAGCTGAGCCGGGGTCAAGAGCCACTGGCTTCAAACGGCTTCTCTTGTTGTTTCCTTGCTGCCCGTTTCTTCTTTGGGTCTCTCTCTTCTCCCCTCCTCCTACCTGGCTGCTCCTTAACGCAGGCAGCAACGGAGTCCCTGCTTAATTACAGCCGAGTGGGCCCAGCAGCAACTTGCTCTGTTAATTTCTCACTCAGATCAATCCTTTCCAATGCTAACTCTTCTCAGTGGCCGTTGGCCTCCTCCTGTCCCCGACTCCTCACCTCTGAGCCAGGGACCCCTCCGATTTACCTCCACCGCTCTGCTCTCAGTGTAGACTGCAGGGAGTCTGTCACAGGAAGGGGTCAGGGAGTGGGGACGTGGTCTTCTGCCAAGCCACCTTCTGCTGAGCTGCAGAATGGCATGAGCTGTCCTCTGTGCCCACCAGGCTGAGATTCACCTCCCAGCTTCGCTGGGTGCTCATGAAGCCAGAGAAAAGCTGGTTGACCACAGTGACCATGGAGGGCTCAGAGGTGAGAGGGAAGAAGAGGAAAAGTTCACCTATTTCCTCCATACAGCCCCACTGGGGGTAGATCAGAGCAGTTTTCACCTGCCCAGAAGTAGAAATAAATGATTAAAGCCAAATCTGGGCTCAGCCAACAAAGAGCTTTGCAGTTGAGATGATGACATGGGCATTGGAGAGATGGATACATTTATGATCAAGAAAACATTAAGACAAGTGCTGAGCTGAACGGCATTAGACACAGGAGAAGATTCAGAGATGAGCACATCCTCTCACATGACCGCTTTCTCCTCTCCCACATTTTTGTCTTCCACAATGCCCTGTGGTTCAGCAGTCAGTCCACCTGTGATTCCCACGCAGGAGGGGCAGGAGCCTTGTTATTGACTTCCAACTTTATTATATTGTGATCAGAGACCATCATCTTCATCCTCTTGATCTTTTTGTATATATTGAGACTTAGTTTAGACTAATATGTGGTTAATTTTTGTAAATATACCATGTGTGACTAAACATAACACATTTCCTCTAATTTTGGAGTACAGTGTTTTATATAACTTACTTGAGCTGTTCAAATATTTCATATTGCTATTTTTTCCTGTTTTATTTACTGAGAGAGATGTGTTAATAACCTTTCATTCTGATTGTGGACTTGCCAATTTCTCCTTGTAACTCTACCTTCTATTTGTTGCATTTGCTGACTCACGGTACATTGTCAGCTTGTCTGTTTTGTAAGTTAATGTGACAAGCTTTTCTCTCTTTCTTTTTCTGTGCGAATACGTGGATTGCTTAAGTGTTCTTTCCAGTCCTCACCTTGGCCTCACCTTCTGCCCCTGCATGGACGTTTAAAATGCATGTTCCTAGTCTCCGGTCACCTACTGATCCCACACGCCCATCGCTGTTCTGCCTCTCACACCTGAGATTTCCCTTTCTGGCTTCCTCATTCAGTCGTGCCTTAAACTTGTTTTCATTGTGTTTTATTCATCTCTAAGTGTTCTTAGTCAGAATTCTTTCACCAGCCTAGTTCACCATTTTCCCAGAAGTTCCAAGGTTCTTTGTAAACTGTAAAGGGCTGTGACACGTGAATAATTACCTCTCAAGCCTTTGGCTTTTGGTGTCCTTTCCCACTGCCAGAGTTACGCTGCCCCACCCGGTTTCCCATTGGAATTCTTTCCCCAATCCTGACACTGGACTATCTGCTTGGATTTGTTTCACTGGGTTTCTGTCAACCCCCTCGTGGGACGAAGGCCCCACAGATGCTCTGTGTGTCTCTGAACCACACCTTTAGTTTCTCTGGGCCATGGTTTCACATCCCTCCTACCACCAGCACCTTCCTCTCCATTTCTGTCCTCTTTGTTCAGAAATGTCAAGTAAGCAGTGGAGGAGTGAGTGATGTGTGATATGTTTGGTTAGGCGGAGAAACAATGAAAACATTAAATGTATTTTCTTCCAGCCTTTTGTTCTGGCTGGTTGCAATTACGGCTAAAAGAATGCAAATTCTCCCAAGTGCACACAGGCCTTGCAACCGGGGTGACAGCCAGGTAGTCAGGTAGAAGTGGGGAAGGACTTACTCTTTCGGTAGTTACTTTCTTTTTAACTGTTAATTTTGAATTGTTAACTGTGATTTTTTAATTTAAAAATGAACAGTTTACCACATTGCCTTATTATTCTCTCTCGATATTTTTGCATTTTTTCTACACCATTTGCGAGCAAGTTGAGGATCTGATGTCCCATTACTCCTCAATATGTCAGTGTATATTTCCTTAAAATGAGGATACTCTCCCACACAACCACAACACAACCAATA